TAGATTTTTGGTAGTCCGTACAATCTAGGCAAACTTGGATTGCTGGAAATTAGAATTTTTGGAGCATTGTGATCTTGAAAAAATTCGCAGAAGTGCTTTATGAGTCTATTATATTTCCTGATAAAGGTGTTATATGGGTTTGACTGTAGAATATGGAAAATGTTGTTCTGAAGGAACGTGGTAACTTTCGATGTATAATCAAGCGTGTTGAGAACCACAACACAATAGGGAACTTGCACTTTTTTTTTTAAATTCAAAAATGTGTTCTACTACACTAAAGACATAGTCATGCAAAATATCAAGCATTAAAAATCAGCCGTTAATTTTTTATAATTATTTAAAGTTACGCTCGAAACATCGCCATTTGAAACGACCGATTATAGTACGGGATACGAGGCCTATTTCATCAAATCATTTTACACCGTCTTGCATTGTTATCATCAGTTAGATAACATGGTACTGAAACGCATTTGTGCAGGGAAATAGATAGGAGTGGGGGATTTCGCTGAAAAAAATGTTTCAGAAAATGTCATCATAAACGAGAAAAATATTTAATTATACACCGTCTTGCATTTATTTATTGAGTTAATTTGTACATAAACAAAATTGGATTAACACATGCAAGACATTTTCATGGGGGTTTTGGGGTTGTAATATAAGATGGAAATTGTCAATTTTTGAGAGGGGTGAAATATCATTTTACACCATTCCATTGTTGATTTATATCAAAGCTTGAATGTAGAATAGCCACTGGATACTGATACAAGACGTCCTGTAGAGGGATAACGGGCTGCAAGACGGATGTCAATGTGTTGTCTCATGAGGGAGTGAAAAATTATTTTACACCACTTCATGCTTATGTCCGCCGAAAGAATCTATGTTAAGAAATGGTATTACATCAGTCCAAGACGTTTTTTCTGGGAAAAAAGTTAAAAAATCCATTTTAATTTTTTCACTGAACTGTTGAGTTATTTACTGAACCGTTCAATGTTTATTCTTTTTTAAATCATACAGATGAAAAAGGACAGTTGACATAGCAGCTCAACAGGGGAGTCTGTTGAATACAGGAATTATAATTTTTGTTTACAATTTCAGACAGATCATTTGTTGTGTCATTTTCACATTTTTTTGCTGCTTTAAAATGAAATTCTTCAAATTTAATGCTTACAATCTGTTATGTGCACAAAACATGTTATGTGTCATGGGATATCCACCTCAAAGAGAACCTAAATGATTAAAAGCCGTCAAAAATAAAACAATTTTCAATCTTTTTTTATTTGATGTCCGTAGAAACATTCATATATACATATTATTAGGAGAATTTCGCAAAATAGAATTATTCTACGTGGTGAAGAACAAAACTATTTAAAATTAATGTGCATAATTTGTAATTTGAAGTAGTATTCACCTTTGTACCTGATAGATTGACCCTTGTCAAAATTAGTCAACTTCATCATCGTCTTGCAGTCCTTTCTTCCCATTTAGAATGTCTTGTATTTTTAAAAATGTTATCAATGTGTTCTATTTTTCCCATAAGTACCAGTGCAAGACGGTGTAAAATGATTTCTCCCTCCCTCATAAGACAACACATTGACCTCTGTCTTGCAGCCCATTATCCCCTCACAGTACGTCTTGCATCAGTATCCAATGGCTATTCTACATTCAAGCTTTAATCTAAATCAACAATTGAGTGGTGTGAAATGATATTTCACCCCTCTGAAAAATTGACAATTTCTATCTAATATTACAACCCGAAAACCCCCAGGAAAATGTCTTGCATAGGGTATTCTAATTTTGTTTGTGTACAAATTAACTTAATAAGTAAATGCAAGACGGTGTGAAATTGTATATTTTCCTGGATTATGACGACATTTTCTCAAACATTTTTATCAGCTAAATTCCCCACTCCCATATATTTCACTGCGCAAGTGCGTTTCAGCATCATGTTATCTAACTGATGATAACAATGCAAGACGGTGTAAAATGATTTGATGAAATAGGCCTCGTATCCCGTACTATTAGTGTGACGTAACTCGGCAACAAAATTCCGTTGACATGACAGTGACGAGCATTTCGAATTTCGAGCAGGTAGATTTAGATTATGGTTATGTTATGTATGCCGTTTACGATAGATTCGACATTGGCGACACCAGCAGCACCATGGCGTGGCAGCGGCGCGACCCGATTATTACTGCCTTGTGACGTCACGACCTATAGAAATACGTTTTTGATCGCGTCATGAATTTGGAATTATTTGGTATTTTTCAATTCAAGGATGATTGTTATTGTGTTTTAGTATTCATTCCATATTTAATTTAATGTGCAAGTTCCCTATTCCCCTTATCAGCCTTTTAAAATCAAGTTCTTCTCCCTAATCTTGGCTTTGGGCTTTTTGAGAGTTTTGTAAAAGTGAGAAGAGATAGAGAAATTAGTTTTTTCCAAATCTTTTTTTTTAGGTGTATAGAATATTGTGAATGTCATTCGAGTGGTGATTTTTTGATGTTATAATTGAAGGTAATTTGTTCAATGATGACATCGAGTTCTACTGCGTATTTGAGAACATCACAGTCAGAAAAGGGTTTGTGTAAACAAAATTTTAAGCCCAAACTAAGAAGGGCAAGCTCGTCATCCTCAAAGACAGTGTCACAGTTGTTTTTGACTCTTTCATGGAAAACAAAATTCGAAAATTTACCTGCCATATTTGTTCTATTTTTCTTCAGGGTTTTTTTTTTCTTTTTGACCCCGAGGATATGAATTACCGATTTTGTGATCTTGCCAGTTTCAACTTTCCTAAAATCTCATTTTTTGAAGTGTAGTTAACTAAATGCTGTTTCCATTTTCAAAAATTTAGGATTTACAATGTTTAAAATTTGCAATCTTGATATTGCCTTGAGTTTCCTTATTAATTCATGTTGTTGAGGTTTGTATTAATCCTCTTCCATAAAAATTCCGTTGAGTAGAACAAACTTTTCATCAGCTTTAGTAAACAAACGGCAATTGATCTCAAAACCTCTGCAATAATGAAACATACAACTCATAAAATAACCTTTCAATGAACCCAAGAGACCTTTAATAAATAGAGATAGCATAAAATAGGTAAAATTGCAATTAGAAACTCCAAAGTATTTTCATTAAAAATTAAAACAGTTAGAGCTTGTCAGACTGCATCGGTGAACCAATAAGAGTAAAACAGAGAGCTTCCTCGACGAACTAATGACTCCGGATAGAAATAAAGGCGTATTGCTTCCGAATTGGTACGCGAAATAACAAGCCCGTACTCGGAATTCCTTTTATGGTCGTTTCAATTATTCCTTTGGGTTTTTTAAAATCAAACTCGTATGCTGTATCCAATAGGACCCAAACAAAACTTGTGTGTCATACATTTTTCAATTACAACTGGAAAGTTGACAGTGATATAATTATGATAGAATGAAATTGTAATAAAGAAAATTTAGAATTTATTTCTTTAATCTTAAAGTTGTTTTGGAAAGTTTTAATTTGGCAAACTTGAAAGTTTTACCGGGAATCTTGAAACTTTTAAATCATAATTTTTAAGGGTCTTATTACTTAGTGTATTTGTTTTCCACTTAAACCGATGAATTCTGGACTGAGACTAGAGCTTTTTGTAAAATGCAATATTTTTGTTAACGACATCACTAAGAAAGTCATTAGAAAAGTTAGAAACATTCAATTATTGTCTATGATAAGTTTACATAACAAGCAAACGTGCAGTTGAATGTGCATACAGTTGAACGATGAAATTATAGTCTTCATGCTATACTTTGCCGAGTAACCTCTCAGGAGATTCTCCTACCGTTCGCTTTCGACACAGGTTAAGACTGATTCTCGACACAGGTCTCTCCCCATATACAACAGCCCCCCTTCTATTAGAGACCCGTTTCACTTTGGTACAGATAAGTATAATTTTATCTTACTCTTTCAAACTAATAAAGTTGTAACATTTAATTTACTGACAGATTATACATCTTCGTCAGCCCAAAGTGCCAACGCGATACAATTCAAGTTTCTTCAAGTAAATAATTTCCCAAGCAACTCCGCCGAAAACATGACGGATGATTTCCGATTTGTCAAAAGTTGTACAATGGAAAAAAAATGGAGTTTTGCGACGCGCAAAAATTAAACTTTTTAAAACAGCAAAATCCAGAGGCCAAGAAAAATTATCGCCATTTGGTAATTCGGATAATTTTGCTGCGGAAAAAGTTATAAAAGATTGCCTCGTACTTTGTCAAAAGTTACAAAGGTGCAAATTAGGTCTCGGCAAAGTTTTGTGTGAAAACGAAGTTTGTGACTTGAAATTTTAGAATCTGTTGGCTTTTTTTTTTTCAAATTAATAAGTTTTGGCCTAGGGATTTTCAAAAACAAATAATTACAAATCAATTATATAGGCACGATAAAGTCTCTTCCAAATTTGTTAATGGATTCCATACAAACACCTTCACAATTAACGCGACAAAATAATATCAATTAAATATATCAGTCCCTACTCTCGGGTATCCATTAGCCGAAACGGAATTCTCGAATTCTGAACTGAAATTATACTTTGTTTGCCGATGCGAAATCCAATTAAAACTTTCACTAATTAGAATAAACACCTCAATATCCCGGCTTATTATTTCGTGTTTAAAACAAAAGCAATACACCTTCATCTGGATCACAAATCCCAAAACCATCAATTGTACACGAGAGGCTTTAATTTGTGTTATTTTCAAATTTTGGTTTTAATGAGTTTTAATATTGAACTCCGACAGCAATATCAGCCGATTGTGTTGTTTTGTCTGTTTTTGAGTGCAGTGTGGCTATTGAACAGTTGTTAACTTTAGTCGAGGAAAAACTACATTGTTTCACATTTTCATTTGTTGAAACGATTTGTGCTTGAAAACTTCTAGTTACCAAAACTACTCTCTTAAACGGGTCGATTTTAATAAACTCTCAAAAATTATATTTCATAGGGGCAAAGTTTCAAGTACCTAACCAATTTTATGTTTGTAAATAATAATAGTAATGAAACCCGTGTGGGATACGGGTGTATAAAGAATGTCCCCACGGTAGTTCCTGCCTGTCGTAAAAGGCGACTAAAAGGGAACCACCGATGTGCTAGCAACTCATCAGGTGTGAGAAATGCTACTACTAATACTAATAAAAAGCAGGGTGGCGGAGGATTGCAGGCTGATCCTTCTCGGAACCATCCAGAAGCCCAGCTTGATCCAAAGTGGAGTGGAGCGAACGGCACTACTTTGAATAATGAGCCCATAAGAACCAGCGAAATAAAAGGTGAAAGGTTCTCAAGATCAGACATAGTAGGAGATGGAAATTGTCTATTCAGAGTCATTAGTCTATATCTAGAGGGCAATCAAGATAATCATCAACAAATCCGAGCAAATGCTGTCAAATATATTCAAGAACATTGGACTTCACTTCAAATATATATATAGTAGGTACAAGAGTAAGATTGCTTGAAGGATGTTGTAGACTACTGTCAGTATATGTCACAGGTTGGTACATATGGAACCAGTCTGGAGATTTATGCAATATCAGAATTTACAACCTGAATATCCATTTATATTTGATGCAGCGAAAACCACCTCGAAAGAAAATTACAATAAAAGACACTCCAATGATATTTGACAAGTCGAGCGGCAGGACAGCGCACCTTCTTCTAATAGACAACCCACAAGCTGGACATTTTGAACTCATAACACCTGAAAATCCTATCAAAAATAATTCCTCAACCATCCCAAGTAAAACCAAACTACATCAAGAAATTAGAAACCTTGAAGAATCAGAAACTGCTGAAAGTGTTTCGGATTTACCTGTGACCACCAAAGCAGGACGTATTCAGCAACGCATGACATGGACCGATGAAATGGATAAAACTGTCATGAGTTGCTATTACCAAGCTACTCAACTTAAAATCGTATAAATAGGATGCCGACCAGAACTATTCGAACTCTTTACAAAAAACATCCAGATCTGGAACAATATGTAATAGCGCAGCGGCTCATGGACCAAAACCGAGTAATAATAGACAACAAAAGATTAACAACGCATGACCTACAAAGCATTAAAGAAGAGGTAGCAAAAATAATTAACGTAAAATCAACCTGGAAAAAGATACAACAGAGGATATTGGATGAAGATAAGCAACCAAAACGAAAGGAACCCGTCTAGGGCGTCTACCATCATACTTACATGTGAACAAGAAGAACTTAGTCTCAAAACCATTTTAGGCAACGAAATGGAGACAAAAATCCTAACATGGATGTATAGCGACCCTAGTAAACGGCGTAAACGCCCACAGTTACCACGCCTGATTTCTAAAGGGAAAACCAACAGTCTTATAAAAATAATGAATGAAAACATATTAAAAAACTATCTGACAAAAAAAATTTGCCTTGAAGATTTTCAAACCATAATTTACTCTGCCGCAATCACCATCTTAAAATGCAACAATCAAAAGATCATAGAAAACAGAATAAACAAAAAATCTCATAGGAAACCTAAATGGCAAATTAGAATTGAAAATAACATTACAAAGCTGAGATGCAATATCGGCAGAATTACACAAATATATGCAGGGAAACCGATAAAAAAAACATTGAAAAATATTACCGAAATAACAAAAACCAAATCATAATCAATTCCAGAAATACTTGATGCATTTGAACCAAAGTTGTCGGTATATGCAGCACGCTTACTTAGATATAAGGAATCCAATAGTGGAAAAATGATTAACTTTCTCTTTAACACAAATGAAAAACGATTCTACAACAGCCTCAAATATAATAAAAAATCAAAAGTTATACGTTAAACAAAACAAAAAATTACATTATTCTGACAAGGAATTTGGTCAAAATAAGTTAAGCATAACGAGTCAGCTACATGGATATTAGAAGAAGAAAATAGACAAAGAAATATTCAAGAGCAAACAGACTACAAAATCAATCTAGAGGAACTAACATAAGTTATAAAAAAATACATAATTGGAAAAGCCTAGTAACCGCTCAAGTACACAACTTTTGGTATAAACAACTTACGTCGCTACACCCTTATCTGAAATCTATATATATAAAAATCAAAGTTCACGGGGTATCCGGATATGCGCTCCAAAACCACTTATCCGATTACGATGAAACTTTGGTAGGTTGTTATGGCCATCCCAAGGAAGGTTTGTGGATAGGTTACGCATCTCGGAAAAAGAAATTAATTTTGAATTAATTATTAATTTAATTGTAAACAAACTCATTCAAATTACATAACAACATAACCTAACTTTTTTTGACAGCATGAAACAACGTTGCCATATTTCATTTATTTAGGCTTGCATTCAACCGACGTAACTTTATTATTTTTTGAATTCAAGAACGGCTGGACCGATCTTGAATTAATACCACGTATCTCTATATAAGGTGAATTCTATTGATCCAGATTAGATCGATTTGGGTTCAATTTAAGTGAACTTCTTCTGATCTAGATCATTTTTTTGTTGATGAGGGTGCAATCCAGCTTGAATCGAACACAGTGTAGTTCACTTGAATTGAACCAGATCGATCTAATCCGGTCAATCGAATCGGCTATAGAGGAGAGTGATATAGGCTATCTTTTATCTCGAAAAAAAAAGTTCGGTTGCGTAAAACTCTGATACACTGGAACGCCTATAAACAGCCCGGGGCGCTCTAGAGCAGCTCTGGAGTGCTTAAAATGCGTCAATGAACTCACTGGCAAGCGACTATGATATCGGATTTAAAAAAAAAAAATTAAATAGAAAATCAACAACAAAATTTGAAAAGAAGTGTGTTATTTCAAAATGTATTTACATGCTGGCAACGCAGCGGGTCATTAGCTAGTCTAAAATAAATAAAGTAATAGAAAATCCAAGTTCTATGTCAATTTTTTTAACTGAAGGAAAACATACCTGCTACCAAAGGAGGGTGACACGGAAGACCCAGCAAACTATCGACCAATATAATGTCTATAAACTTTGTATAAAATAATAAATTCAGCAATATGCATGACGATAGAACAACACTTTACCAAAATCGATTTATTAACAGAGGAACAGAAAAGATGTCGGCAAAACAGCCACGGATGTGAGGAACAGTTAATTATTAACAGTGTCATAATGAAACAAGCTGAAAAGTAACAAAGAAACCTACAAATATGCTACATAGACTATAAGAAAGCATTTGTCTCAGTCCCACATTCATGGCTGAATAAAGTCCTACAACTTTACAAATTGCATCCAAAACTTCGCAACTTCTTCTCCACTGCAATGGCCACATGGAAAACCTCAATTCATTTATTCACAGATACTGAACACATAGAAACAGAACGAATACCTATTAAACGTGGGATATTCCACGGTGATTCGCTAAGTGCCTTATGGTTTTGCCTTTGTCTAAATCCTTTATCAAACAACCTCAATTCAACACCATATGGCTCTAATATAAAACATCAGAGTCTATCAAAACATAAAATAATGCATTTATTATACATGGACGACATCAAATTATACAACTCAACAAAGACCCAAATGAGAGGCCTACTTAAAATCGTAGAGGACGTTACAACAGACATTGGAATGGAATTTGGTATAAAGAAGTGAAAAATGCTGGTTGTTGAAAGGGGAAGATGGACGGATGAAATATCATCTGAAACACTACAGAAACAAACTTTGAACAAAATGCAAGAAAGAGAAACCTGTAAGTACCTAGGATTCCAACAAAACACAAGAATAAACCATAGGTACTCTGATAAAAAATTAGCTTTTAAAACAATAAATCACTTGGTTAAGGCTCATCCGTAAATCAAACATAAGCTCAAGGAACATGTTCAGAGTTATAAACGCATTTTGCATTTCTCTTCTTACATATTTCTTTGATATAAAAGAATGGACAAAAACAGATGTGGACAGAATACACCAGGTTAGAAATAGTAAAGTAACCAAAAATATAAAACCTCATCCCAATGCCTGCCATGTGCGGCTCATATTACAAAGAAAAGAGGGAGGTAGAGGAATCCTGAATATCCATTTATTACAATCTCATTGACATTATATATACATCATTCCATTCATAATTTCTACCACAGGGATCACCCATATAAAATCTATGCAATCTTAGGATCTTAGCTTGAATTAGTTCATACATCATCAAGTTCAGAAGGCCGTTATTCTTAAAACATGCAACATTGTAAGATTATTCTTGAGACACTAGTACCCTCTGTTCAAACTTGGTATTTTATACCTGTTGGAACAGAAACTGGACATGAAGAGCCGAGTAACAAAACATAATATTAATAATAATAATAATTTAAAAAATTACATCAGAAAAACAATGGGAAAACTGCAAGCCGACCTCACCAACCCCAAGGAACACAAAAGAATATTAAAAAAGGAAAGAACATTTCGAAAGAAGTAAAAATCAAAAGGAACTCTCCGAACTACCAACAACAACTTACGAAATACCATACAAATACTTACCTAGATAAACAAAATCAAAGGATAGCTGAGCTAGGAGCAAGAATACGTCGATACAACAAACGCAATCACAGGTAAAGAGGAAACAAATTATTTTAGGAAGATCCTGGGAAGTTTTACAGATTACTGACCCAGTCCAAAGAGGAAGATGAGAACTCTCCACCCCCTGAACCACAAACCATGCTAAAATTCTGGGAACATATGGTCCATACCTGAATACCACCCAACAGGATGCGTATTGGATTCAGGAAGAAACTGATGAAAACGGACAAAAATTAATAACAACCTACGGAAAACTTTAGAATTGAGGTTGCCGAAATCAAGAAAACCGTTAAAAACTGTGCGAATTGGAAATGCCCTGAACCAAAAAAAAAAAAAATACAAAACTATTGGAGGAAATATACTTTACCACAGTGCACGAAACGACGATAGCATCCCAATTTCAGGCCATAATCGAAAATCCAATCCTCGTGCCGGAATTTCTCATGAAGGGCATCACAACCATGCTCCGAAAGGTGGAGATTTGAAAAACCCTAAAAATTACCGCCCAATAACTTGCTTGCCCACGTTGTATAAGATCCTAACACCAGTGATCGCACAAAAAATTGAGAAACATGTAACTGAGAACCAGATTCTTGCATCAGAACCACTGGGATGTAAAAAGAAATCTCAGGGCACAAAAGAGCTGCTTATAATCGACTCAATTATAACCAACCAAACAAAAATGAAGCAAAGAAACCCTTCGGTAGCTTGGGTTGATTACAAAAAAGCCGTTGACTCCGTGCCACACAGCTGGTAAGTGCTCGACATTCACATCGGTTGTCAATCTACTGAAGCACCTGATGTAAAGTGGAGAAAGAGGCTTAAAGTCCGGAGCTGGACGGTATCGAGATTAGACACCTGGCAAAAGATGAAACCCAGCGCTTGCTGGGTTTCCAGCAAGCGCTGAATATTAAA